ACATCCCTGCTTTTCCAGACTCTCTGCTACAGGTTTCTAGAACTTCCTTACCTCCACTGATATACAAATAATTCCAGTATACATATGCTACACCATGGCTGCTTACAGGCATAAAAAGCCAAAACAAAACAGCACTTTACTTTAAGCTGCATGTGACCTGGCACTGAGGCCAGCGCATGCCCAGAAGAGGCAGAGCGTTAGTTGGATCCAGCTCGCCCAACATCTGTACAGATCAGGCATTTCAGCGGGGCTTTTATGGCACTTTTATTTAATAGCTGATTGAATCAACTTTAGATAAAAGTGCCAAAAAGCCCTGCTGAAGCGCCCGATCTGTACAGATGCTGTGGAGTCGGGTCAAACTAATGCACTGCTGCTTCTGGTAAAGCGGGGGGGAGGTTCCCCCATGTCTGTCAGTGCCCTATGTGGTTTCCAAAAATACAGTAAGGAATCTATATATTAGATTCTTCTTTAAATTATGTTGAATGTCAAACATGTATAAAAGCAAATCATTCTGGTTAGTAGCAGTAAGATCTGGGCCTAACTACTGTTGTGCCATAAATAGTCAGATGGGCAATGCCATATCAAGTCTTTGACAGTGGCTTCCGCTGAATTCATCTGAGGAAGTTAAGAAATTTGCAGTATACCTGTACAGCACGATAATATGAAAATATTGTCATGACTTCAGCACGTGATTAGTTCATTCCCTGGTAACAAAAGGACCATCGTTTTCATCCTGTGCAGTGCATTGTTGAACCCTTTTATTCCTGTAACATGTTGACATTTATTCTTATTCTAAGTTGAAGGCATGGCAGGGTGCCACTTTAAGACTAACTTGTTCAGAGAGGCATAAGCTTTCATAGGCAACAGCTTACTTCATCAGATGTCATGAAGGAACTTGCAGAGAGATGGGGTATTAAATAGACAGGAGTAAAGTAATTTAATACAAACAACAAGGAAAGAAAGGAAAGGATGGGGGCTGGGGAGACTGCCAAGAGAGGCAAAGGCGGCTTGAAGAGGTCAAAAGGGAAAAGCAAAGCAGTTAACCGATTGAGGAACATAAGGGTTATAAAAGCTATCCAGGTATGGAGAAAGAATCCAGAGTCTTTGCTGAGACCATACTGGACACAGTTCAACCTGTGGATGATTTCTTGTTCCATCATTTTGCATTCAAGTTAATTTTTGAAGTTACGGTATTTTGACTTTTGACCTGTCCTTTGAAGTGAACTGAATTGGCAAATTCTCACTTGCATACTACCTCACCATTTAATTTAAAGGGTTAGAAACTAAACTCTGTTGCTGAAATTGAACAACTTTATCTATCTGTACCAACTAATGCTGGAAACCTGTCTGATCTGATCTGCTAAAGAGGATATAATTTGGTTGCCACCTAGCTGGAGGATCATTTGTGAATTCCTATGGGCTGTGGGGATTGGCGTCACTGGTCTGGTAGGTGGCATTCTTCCAGCTGAGTAAGAACCGTAACAGTGTCCCAGTGCATCGTGTCAATAGACGCTGCATTGGAAGTGCTGCCTTGTGCCTAAGACACCATACTGAGTTTGACTGTTCAGTTATTGAAGATCAGCTGCCCTCTTCATAAATAGTATGTACACTAGCATGTGATGTCCTGGCCAAATTAAAATTAGAGAAACTAAGTCCTAGGGTTCCCTTGGCAGTTGCAGCTGAACTCAGTTTTTCCACATCTTTTATATGATACACACCCACGGTATGCACTGGATCAGAGGAACATTTTCAATTTGAATATTTTCAGTTTTAGGTATGTAAATATTTCATGTACTCGCCTATCCCTTCATTTTCCCTAGGGTTTTGTGGTGATGTTACTATTGTGCTCCCTGTTTTTTTTTTTCCCTGTTTGTTGCTGTTTAAAAGCCTAACAATAAAATGAACATTGGAACTGACTAGACATAAGAGGTGTCAAAAACAGTAAGGGCAATTCAGCACAGGTAATTTTTATTTAATGTTATAATAATCTCAGAACCTAATGTTACCAGTAACATATATCATCTAAAAGTCTTACTTTTCTATTTAGTGTCTCTTTTTAAACAGAGCTGCTATTTCAGTAAAGATGATTAGATGGCAATACTTTGCACTGATCTGCAAAATGCTTTACCTTCAATCTTCTAACAACTCAGGTCTCTGTTCATCCTTAATTTAAGTATTGTTTTAATTCAACATGCACTACAATTTACCCTGTTTGCGATGCACTGAAAGGATTACTTACCATTAAAAATTGTTCGGGTAAATCCTGTTCTGATACCTGTAATAAATATCAACATACACCTAAGTCCCTTTCC